TCTCTACCTCCGCTATCCTCCCAAGCTAATGTGCGGATGCGTGCTCACCCCACCCCACCCAAACCACACACACACCCACCCACCCCGCCCACCCACTCACCCAACACACACTCATGCTCACAACGACGTACGACACCTAATGACGTCGTTTGTGTTCTTAGAAGGGAGTGCACTACTTCACCTCCACCTGATTGCGTGTCATCATCGGGGTAGATTCATCAAGCTGCGTACGCAAAATATTTTGCGTAAATCTTGTGTACGCAATCGACGTTGCTTAGTTGCGATTCATCAATACAGCTATTTAGTAAATTTTCGTACGATTTCGCGTACGCAAGCGGGGCCGTTTTAGGTGCGATTCATCAAGCTAAAATTTACGTAATCCTTTGCGTAACTTTACACGAGCTGACGAGGTGCCGTAAACCACTCAAAATTTCCGCAGGTGTTTCCAGCATACCGCAGCATGCATTATTTTATTGAGAAAACTAAAAATTTTAAATAAAATTACTACTCAACTAAAAATAAATAAATAATTACCATACTACACAGACAGGCGGCGCCTTTGACGCTTCTTTTGTCATAGCTTGGCATTGTTTTCGTTATAAGCGAGTTCGTAGTTAGCCGTGTACATGCACACGCACGCACGTTAAGTGTACGTGCACACGCACGCACGCACGTGCACATGCACGCACGCACGCACGCGCGCATGTGTACGTACACACGCACGCACGCACGCACGTGTACGTGCGCACGCACGCACGTGTACGTGCACACGCACGCACGCACACGTGCACATGCACGTGTACGTACACAGTACACACGCACGCACGCACACACGTGTACGTGCACACGCACGCACACACGCACGCACGCACGTGTACGTGCACACGCACGCACGCACGCCCGTGTACGTACGTACGCACGCATGCACGTGTATGTGCACACTGCACACACACGCACGCACACGTGCACATGCACGTACACACGCACGCACATGGACACAAGCTAATGACGTCGTTTGTGTTTTTAGAGGGGAGTGCACTACTTCACCTCCACCTGATTGCGTGTCATCATCAGGCGCTCACGCAGCCGCGACAAGAGTACGTACGTACGCCGGCTTCATCAACGATGTGCTCTGACAGCGAGCAGCGAGCAGTATGCGCATGCACTACTAGTAGAATCTGTTTGTCTGTCCCGTCGGTCTGTTTGACTCTTTCTCTCTCGCTCTGTCTGTCGGTATGTTTAACTATCCATTCATCGATCCATTTGTCCATCCATCAATGCATTGATCGATCGATCCATACGTCCGTCTATCCGTAGGTCCATCCGTCCATCCGTCCGCCCGTCCATGCATGCAATGCATCCACTCATCCGTCCATGCATACATGCATGCATCCATCTATCCATCCATCCAAGCAAGCAAGCAAGCAAGCAAGCAAGCAAGCAAGCCACCACCCATCTATTCTCCATATATGAGTCTATATATTTATATATAATAATATAATAATATAAACACATATAACATATTAGCATCGTAGTCTAGTAATTAGTAGTAGTAGTAGGGTTAAAATCGTAACTATATACTACCCCCAAATCTCGACGGACCGCATTTCTGCGATTTTTAGCGAAGCATTCGTGAACAATCACCGCCTAATCAACACAGAAAAACTCTGAAATCTCTCAAAGCAGGGAGGAACCACTGGAGGAATGAATCAACAACGGGTGCATAGCAACGAGTGTATGCAGGCGAACTTCGTACAAAACGAACCGAATTTGACACGGAAAACGGATTACGCGTGACGACCAAGCTATTGTCGTTTGCCAGCAAATGGTGAATTCGTAGGCATCCGGTGACATTGACCGCTGCCGCCGCGGTACAAGCAAGCAAGATCAGTGTGTGTGTGTGTGTGACGCTGCAAGCCGCACTGCCTGCCAACACATGAGAGATGATGATGATGACGATGATGATTGATGAATGAGGACAATGGAGACGCATTGATGGGCCTGATGATGATGATGAGGATGGACGATGATGATGATGGAGGACGACGATGGACCGCATTGCATGTGTGATGAGGCATGATGAGGCATGACATGATGATGATGGAGGAGCGACGACTGACGATGATGTGCTGATGATGATGATGAGTGATGGACGATGCTGATGCTGAATTATGGTGAGGATGATGATGGACAATGCTGCTGCTGGACCTGCTGCTGCTGCTAGATGCTGCTGCGATGATGATGATCATAACACTGATAACAACGAACGTTCGGAAATAAGCACCATGACAGAGGCATACGACTGTCGCCATATACGACAGGGCCTGTAAGCATACGCATGGTCTGATGGCATCAATTTGACATATTTCTCTACAAAAATAGCACAAATACGATGCTTTGATCAGTGATGGCTGGCATATAGTTATTTCGCCTGATTAACGATGAGCTGCGCGCTAACGGTGCGCTTAATGAATCCGTCACCGTGCCCATCATTAAGAAAACGGGGGATGAGGATAGGGCAATGCAACTATAAGTGGAATATGATGTTCAAAATACTACATTTAATCTCCCGCGGGCTCTGAAAGAATATGCGCGCGAGACACAGCAGACACGACTGAAAGAGAGAGAAAGAGGAGAGATGAGAACAGAAAGACGAGAAGAGGAGACTGAGAGAGAGGAGAGGAGAGAAGAGAAAGAGGCAGAGAGGGAGATGAGAGAGCGAGAAGGAGAGCGTTCACAGCTGAACCGTTGTGAGAGAGATAGAGAGCAAACGTAGCAGCAAGAGAGAGATATATAGAGAGAGATGAGAAAGACAGAGGAGTGAGAAAGGAGAAAGCAAAGAGAGACATGATGAAGCCGAGCGAGAGAGAGAAAAACGTGAAGAGAGAGAGAGAGAGAGAAAATCGAGAGAGAGAGAGACGAGAGAGAGACGAGAGGAGAGCAGAGACTGAAGGGAGGGAGGCAGAGAGAAAGGGCACGGAGAGAGACGACCGCTAGAGAGAGAGAGACGAGAGAGAGAGAGAGCGACGCGATAGAGAGAGAGAAGAGAGAAGTGCAGTGAGAGAGAGAGAGAGAGAGCAGAGAGAGAGAGAGAGAGAGCCAGAGAGAGAGAAGAGAGACGCGAGACGAGCGGGCGCGAAAGGGAGAGAGCGGGGAGGAGAGAGTCGAGCAAATAGAGAGCAGCAGAGAAGAGAGAGGAGAGAGAAGGAGAGGAGAGAGAAGAGAGAGAGAGAGCGAGCGAGAGACGAGAGAGGAGAGATAGGCTTAGCTACTAATGTACCGACCGTCTACACCGCAGCTCCGCTCTCCCTTTGTCTCTCTCTCTCCTCTCTCTCTCTGTCTCTCACGCTCTTCTTCATTCTCTTGATTTATTCTCTCTCTCTCTCTCTTCCCCTTTCCCGCTTTATCCCTCTCTCTCTCTTTCGCGCCTGCTCTCTCTCTCTCTCTCTCTATTCTCTCTCTCCGCCCCTCTTCTCATCTTTCTCGCTGCACACACACAACACATCACACTCCCACTCCCATCTCATCCTCGCTGCCTCTCTCTCTCTCGCTCTCTCTCTCTCTCGCTCTCTCTCATCTCTCTCCTCTCTCTCTCTCTCTCTCTCACGCACGCACGCACGCACGCACGCACGGCAGTATGGTGAATACGGGCGTAAACCTATAAGTAACTAATCCGTAAATGAAAGACTATGGAACTTCGAGGCAGAATGACCACAGCAGAAGCTTGTAAACAGATTCAGACGGCAATTTCTTTACGCGTCGAGTGATCTATAGCCATGGGGCGTGAACGCAATATTACTTCATCGGCTGATAAACGCTCTTCAATGGAATCCAAGCAGTTGTGAGAAATTGAAGCACATCGATTATGACAAAAAATGATTTTTCCGCAGGTGGACGGTTTCAATTCCTGCGCAATGGACCTGAAATAATGCGATTCTGGTTTAGACAGATGCGCACAAAATTCTAAAAATGTCAATAATTGATAGCGCAATGCCATAGACCATCACCATAGAGGAGTTGCTATTGCTATTGGATCATCCGATTGAAAATCTAGTGACGAGCGTCCAGGTTCTGGTGCACCCATTTTCCACCAGGTAGCAGCACTGTGCTTGCAGCAGAGCAGGGGAAGGGAAACAGCAAGAAGCCATGGGACTCATCAAAGCCTGATCAATAATCGATTGAAGACCTTTTGATGCCAGCCACGTCAGATGGGCAAACTCTTATAATATTTCACCCTGTGTTCTTTATTGTATTCCACGTTTACTGGATACATCAGGCATAAATGAGTGTTTTTACTGGACTACACGTCTACGCGAGTAAATGCTATTTGCGGAACCTATATAAATTCCCACCCATCCAAACAATTCCTAGGTCAATTGGGTCATCGTACACAATAAATGTTTCAGGCGACATCTTTCAGACCGAGATCCGAGTGGGCCAGCAGGTTTCGTGTCAGGCGTTGCAAGAATTCTCTGCAAAAAAATGCACATGCACATCGTGCAGAGAAGCTGAGTGGCAGGGCATTGACCCTAACACTGCAGCAAAAAAATAACGACATTGCGCTCGCAGCGGGACGGTTTGGGTGGGTAGGCGTTTTGGGAAGAGGCTGCACATCTAAGGTGGTTGCCGACGGCTTTAGTTAATAGCTGCGCTCAGTCACCCGCCTCGAAACCACATCAGCATCGCTCGCTAGCCGGCAGTGTCGAGTTCCACGCTTGCTACCCTACTGCGCGAGTTCGCTCCCATCTGGTCTTTGTTGCCATTAGTGAAGCCAGGAAGCGGAGCGAAATCCACTTGCGTGACTCACGAGAAAGACTTCCGCTTGTTTCGCGAAGAAACGGCTCGCTCGTTTTTTTGGCCCTGACGAGAAACCGGTCACTTGTGTCGTGGAGATGTCATTCGCTTGTATTGCGTAGGACAGTTCTCTCGTTTCGCAAAAAAAACTGACTAGCAAAAAGATTAACTGACTAATTAATTAATTATCGATTAACGATCATTACCAGGTAGTCGACGGGGTCGTCCGGCCGCACCTTGGAGCACTCGAGTAGACCTTGGGTGAGGGTCGGCATGACGTGACGCATCAGGTAGTTGCGCATTGGTACGGAGCGCGTCGCCAGAAGTTCACTCTCCTGTTGCCGCACACGCTGCAGCCGCGCCGCCTGCCAACACACAGAGAGGTGATGATGATGACGATGATGATGATGAGGATGATGATGATGATGACGATGATGACGACGATGATGATGATGATACGGCCAGCAGTTCACTCTCCTGTTGCCGCACACGCTGCAGCCGCGCCGCCTGCCAACACACAGAGAGAGGATGATGATGACGATGATGATGATGAGGACGATGATGATGATGACGATGATGATGATGATACGGCCAGCAGTTCACTCTCCTGTTGCCGCACACGCTGCAGCCGCGCCGCCTGCCAACACACAGAGAGATGATGATGATGATGACGATGATGATGACTATGATGACGACGATGATGATGATGATACGGCCAGCAGTTCACTCTCCTGCTGCCACACACGCTGCAGCCGCGCCGCCTGCAGCCACACAGAGAGATGATGATGATGATGACGATGATGATGATGACGATGATACGGCCAGCAGTTCACTCTCCTGTTGCCGCACACGCTGCAGCCGCGCCGCCTGCCAACACACAGAGAGGTGATGATGATGATGACGATG